AAGGATAAAAGAGGGTCCAGTTATAGGTTAACATCGATCTTAACCAACCATATCGGCTTCACCATCACGATACAGTCGTCTTTGTTTGAAATAAGTCAAGACAGAATTAAGTTAACATAAGTTAGTTACTACATTATTATTTCTTATCGAACTGAACTCTAAGTAACTTCTTTAAATATCCTGTCTTTCTCAGTTTTCCAAAATAGCTAGCCAGACTTTACGCTCTAAGAGCGTCTAGATTATTTAAAAAAACCGTGATTTTAAATAAATTTGACCTGAAAGGTCAAATAAACAATAGGAACGTTTAAATCAATTGATATATCTCGTAAGAACTAGTAAGAACTTTGAGTTCGTGGACCCGCACGTTCCGAAAATTACGCTGAACATCTTTTAGTGTGTGGCTATCACGAACGGCGTGTGCGTTTGTAAGTGAAGATCAGCGTTTTATGGTTGATTTCCTTCATTTTCTTGATCAGCTTTCTTTTCTTTGTCACAAACCAGGTCATAGTAGCTATAAAGTGAACTAGATATCGCGATCAGGCCACGAGGCCGACTGATGTGCAAAACAGTACATGTCAAAAATGAAAGTGAGCGCGGATCGGTTTAGTTTGACATCCCCATAGAAATTGAGACTGCAGACCATCTGCAACGCAGGCGCTACCAATTTGAAGCGTAATATTCACGACGACGACGACGACGACGAAGAAGAAGAAGAAAAATCCACTGACATTTTATGACGTGGTCTTCCACAGGAAGTCCTCGTAATAACCCGGACTATTTTATTGGTTCTTAGGATACTGGTGAAAAACGCACAGCTTTCTCGCCAATGAGCGCTCGCGTCTTGAAATCTGAGCGCATGGCGATTTACAGCGACAACACAGAAAACACTACGAAAAACCTCATTTTCTCAAAATAGAAATGACAAGATAAAAATAGAAACTACATACTAAAAGAAGATATCATGAACAAAGATTGATGGAAATATGAATCTTATATATCGGTTAACGAGCTTTTAAATTGAAAAAAAAAATTCTCAAAAATCGCCAGTCGCTCTGTTTACAAATAAATTAGGCAGATTTTCAAGACGCCGCGCTCACTGGCGGGAAAGCTGTGGGCATGCGCAGTGCGTTTTTCACCAGTGTCGGTTCTTAACATAAACCCTCATCCCCGATCTTCGAGCTTAAAAATCAAGTCATACAAAAATATTATATAAACTATTTCTATTTAATATATTTCAGAGTAAAAATAATAACAAATAGATTGCATTATAAAGAGTGTAGATAAAAACGAGAGTGGTTATTTAGAGTTTTAACTCTAGCTTTCACCAACAGCTGCTTGTCTTCGTAAACATCTTGGCTTGTGGACGCAGGAAGATGGTTAATGGTACGTATAGTATATGTTGGTTTAAGACCGCATAGTCGTGATGAGGAAAAAAAAAGAAACTTTAATCAACACTTTTACGAATACTTTTTGCAAGCAAGGGAAGATATCACCCCAAGACATCAAGCAAACACTACTGTCTTTTTAAAATCACCACATGGGGGGTTTAGCTTTATTTTTGTGTCTATTTCGAGTTTTCAATACCACTACTGAGAAACTTACTTGCTAGCGCCACGTATGTTCCCAAGATAATAGTTTGTATACTTTTTACACTTTTTCACTTGGGTCCAAAGACTAGGCTGGTAATTGAGCATAGAAGGAAGTAACATTTCGCAAGTTTAGACCCGGTTCGTACGTCAAGCCAGAGCGTCTCGCCGAACCAAATAGYCAATTGGTGTCGACCCAAATACATTTGGTACAGCGTTGATTCATACGTCGAATCAAATGCAGTTAAAAGCATAAAAGGAAATCCGATAAAAATCAATGATATCGATTATTATTCTCAAAAAAAGATATTTTTGTGCGTTAAGTTCGGCACGGCGATAGCTCGACGTTTTAAGTGGCGTCGAGCTTTTGACGTGCAGCACGACTGGCGCTGCCGTGACACTGCCGTGCGATGGACTCAATTGATTCATACATCGTGATGTTCAAGTTCTAAATTCTAACTATTTGTTTCGGCGCGACGCTGGCTAGACATATAATCAATTCATAAAAATGTATAACAATAGACTAAACGGCATGACGTCACGGCGCCTATGGCGGCCACTTTTTTTGTTCAGTATGTTATTTTAATTTTCATTGTTTTTTGTCGCTCTGATTGTCAAATTTCTAGACCTGATGATATTTACAGTGATTGTGTGTATGATGTCAAATTATTGTCACTCTCAGTATGCAATTTTGCAAGATATTCGAACTTTCTATTTTGTCCGTTGGTTTTATGCCGATCATTTCAAATTTTAAACCTTACTTCGAGTGGTTTTTGTCGTACATCTGTTGCTGTTGTAAAGTCGTCCAAGCATGGTTCAACCTCTTTGTGTATTCCTGGTCATGATCCACCCACWAACATTCTTATTTGTATGGATATTCAGCCAAATCCTGGTCCTTTAGTCTCAACATTCAACTTCGATGACCTCCACATCACGCATTCCACGTCTTCATCGTCTGTAACTTTGTCATCCTCAAACTTCGGCAATTCAATTCTTCAAAGCTCTCCTGGAATCACATATTCTCGTAATGAACTCTTCAAGATTCRTCGGAATTTTMCTTGTSTCTCTCATRATTGTTTTTCACTACTAAAAGATTTAAACATTTTCCGTTTTCGTAGCAAGCGTGCAGGACGTTCTTTAAGAACTGATCATTTGAATAACAACAACAATCCTGATACCGACTGTACCTCTGATCGGTGTACATCATCTACGCCATCTATTATATCTACTAACTTTGATTTTCTTCGTTTTTGTCTTCTTAACTCAAGATCATTAAATAACAAATCTCTTTATATCAAGGATTATATTGTTGAACGAAAATTGGATATTTTTGCTGTAACTGAGACTTGGCTCAAAAACTCTCCTGACTCTCACTTTGTAATTCGTGATGTTTGTCCTTCTGGTTATTCTATTTTCCATATTCCTCGAAAAGATCGTTCTGGTGGTGGTGTTGCTGTGATTTATTGTAATCTTTTGTCCGTAAAACTCTGTGAATCTACTGTTTACAGGTCGTTTGAATCAATGGAGTTATCTTTCCGTTCGCGTGATCAATTGCTTCGTGTTATTGTTATTTATCGTCCTCCTTCATCATCGTTTGCCATCTTCAAGGATGAATTTTCCTCAATGTTGGAGTCGTTAGTTGTTTCTCCTGGTAAATTGCTGATTTGTGGTGACTTCAATATCCATGTCAATGACTCTAATGACTACTCTGGGATCAAGTTTTTAGAATTAATTGATTGTTTTTCACTGCGGTGTATTGATACCACAAAACCAACTCATAAGAAGGGTCATACTCTCGATCTTTTAATTACAAGAGCTGACGAGGACTTGGTTCGTAATTTCTTTGTACATGAGCCTGTTTTATCTGATCATTTTGCTGTTCACTGTCTATTGTCTATTGTCAAACCTGTCAAAAAACCACGATTTGTCACTTATCGCAAACTTCGTTCAATTGACTTAGATGTTTTTCGTCAAGATATTACTGAGTCATTGCTATGTAAATCGCCTGCTACTGATGTGTCTGATCTATGCCGTCAATATGACTCTGTTCTTTCTACACTTCTTGATAAACATGCTCCTGCTCGAACAAAACTTGCTTCTTTTCGAAGAAGTGCACCATGGTATAATGATCAAATCCGTGAAGGAAAATTAAAAAGACGTCAACTTGAAAGACGCTGGCGTAAAACAAAATTAACAGTTGACCGTGATCTTTATGTCAATCAATGCAATTTAGTTAAAAATCTGATTTTCACTACAAAAATGACCTACTACTCCAAGATAATTGATGAATCTGGTTCTGACAATAAAGTTCTGTTCTCTACTGTTGATAAACTTCTTCATCGCTCTGCAGAATGCAAACTACCATCTTCTCCGTCACCCTCTGAACTTGCAAATACATTTGTAAATTTCTTCAACGACAAGATTGTGAAAATTAGAAATGATTTATCTTCTCGTGTGATGTCCTGTGACTCTGATGTTTTTACTATTTTTGATGAGCCATCAATTAACTGTACTTTTTCTTCGTTTGAACCTGTTACTGCTAAAGATTTATCTGCCATGTGTAAAAACCTTTTTTCAAAGTCCTGCAGCCTCGATCCCGTTCCTGCTTTTTTATTGCGTCAGAATCTTGGTTTGTTGTTGCCTGTCATTTGTAACATTGTAAATAAGTCGCTGTCATCTAGTTCTGTTCCACCGTGCTTGAAAACTGCTGTTCTACGAAGCCTGTTAAAGAAGCCATCCTTAAATAAAGAAATTCTAGCAAATTACCGTCCAATTTCAAATTTAAAAATGGTCTCCAAGGTAATAGAGAAGGTTGTTGCAGTTCAACTAAACAACTACCTCTCAGCCAACTCACTTCATGAACCTTTTCAATCTGGATATAAGCGACATCATAGCTGTGAAACTGCCCTTCTACGTGTTTGTAATGATATTCTTCTCTTCCTTGATAATCGAAATTGCGTCGCCATGTTGCTGCTNAATTCATTCTTGTAGCCTTCATAGTGGACCACCAAAATTTGTTGACGGTCGTTTACCAGGAAGCAAATCAATTCAATTTGATAGCAGTTCCTCCTATGCCAGAATCCCCGGTGTCGATCTTCGTGCCAGAAGTTTCACAATAGCTGTATGGTTAAAGCTCTACAACATAAATGACCAGGGACAAGCTATAGTCAGTGACTGGTTTAATCCTCATTATAACTGGTTTATTGGATTGAACTCTGGAAAACTGACAATACGACGTCGAGACGAGCAACACGAAATTCACGGTATTGAATCTTCTGTAGCTATTCAAGAGCAAACATGGTTCCACTTCGCTGTTTCATTTGAAATCGGATCATCCACATTTAGATTATTCAAGGATTGCAAAGAAATCYACAACGAAACTTTGTCAAAAACCAACATTTCATGGTATCCCAGTTCAAAAATCATTGAATTAGGACGCGTAAGCACGCATAKTCGGGATCGCCAATTCTTTGGTGAGGTTATGGAACTGTATTTCATCGACGGTGCAATAAACAGCGAACAGTTGGACAACCTTCGAGGTAGGTACTGTAGGCGACTGATCGAGCTTGCAAAGCTTAAAAATCCTTGCTATTCCCTTACCATGTGTGGGACCTATGATAGTTGAGTTTGGTGATTTGATGTTTGTTTTATTTTGYGAGAATCACTCCAAAAATGTATAATAAAATTTCCTTAGACTTAATTTCTCGTACGAAAACAAAACAAAGTGTAAAAAAGTAACTCCGAACAGGTTTCCTATGGGTCCAGGAAAACCTTAAAAGCCGACCTGGAATCTTTTTTAAACCCCTCAACAATTGTATTAAACAAGAAGAAATCGTAAACAAATCTTCTTTGATGAAATTGAAACAGTGAGGATATGTGCGTAGAATGCAGGGATCGGACTTTGCGAGAAAACTGAATACGCGGACGGCTAGCTAAAACCAAAGACAGACGTTTAAAAAATCGAAAAAGGAAAAACTTTATCTGTCTGCGTGATTATCGTTTTACCTAAAGTACAACAAGTCTTATTCAWTGGCGATTAATATGTCTGCAGGCTTGAACATTTAACCAATGGTTATGGACCATGGATAAGCGGATTGACACAAAATATCTTTTGCCRTACTTGCAGGCTGTATTTTAGGTACGTCATACAAGATGATGTACAGCGATACTATAGACAACCATGCCATTGTTGGTCCTCTGTTGAAGTCCATCAACACCAATAACGACAACGACTGCAAAGATGCCTGCTTCATGCACGTCCCTGATGTATGCTACATGTTCAACTATTATCCACAGACCAAGAAATGTGAACTGTTCTACAAAGATCGTGTGTCTGAATACAAGGTGGAGAAGAGGAATGGATGTTACTTTAAAACCCGTCAGGTAAGAATTCGGATTATCATGTTGGCCAATCGCCATATATTAATAAAAGTAACGCTCCATAGGGAGGGGATGGTCTAGGATCTTGGAAAAGGGTTATCATGGGAGTTAAAATGACTAAATTTTATGTTTCAATTAAGTTATAACTTGTTTTGAGCTTACAAAAAATCAAGCAAGCCTATTGACGCATTTAATTAATAGTTTAACTGTCTTTAAGCACATTATGTCAAAATATTACAATGAATAATTCATATTTTTAGTGTGATGTAAATCCGTGTCTTGATGGCAAACGGTGTTACTCGCTCGGTGAACAAAGTCACACAAGCTGCATTTAGAAATTTTCACAGAGTGATGCCGGCACGCAAGGAAAGTATGATTGGATTTATATGTAGTTAACTATTTCCTGATTTAGTCCGCACCTTGAAGCGATAGAGTGTGTTCAACATTGATAAATAACATAGTTCATGACTAGTTTTATCATGCGCTAAATATTAAAGAATTGTTACACATTTTTGTTGCGTGCACTCCAATAATTGTAATATGTCAAAGAACAAACCATTCTGTAATTATTAGGCAATTTTTAAAAATGTCACAGCACTTTTAATTTGGAGACTGCGCAATATTTATAAGGAGGTGGGCGGTTTGAGAAATGAGCCAAAAAATCAAAACTTTAATTACTATCCCCCCCTCGCAATCGAAGTGATTTACACTAAGAAGGAGGCAATTCCGGGAGAAGTCCCTTAGGAATAAATTCGGAAAAATTAATTTCCAACCTCGCTGGGATTCGAACTATAACTTTCTTTCATTTCTATATCGTGTTTATCATAGTGCCATGCGGTCTTCATATTCATATGATTTACACTAAGATCTCTAAGATCTAGCGGTATCTAGAATTTCAAAAAAATCAAAAGATGACAGAATTTTTACAAATAGTTGAAGAAGCTAAATGTTTGAAAAATATGAGGATAATTTATCCTTATGAAAGACGCTCATTTATACACTTAGAAAATGGCGAAACTGAAGATGGCATTATGAAAGTCTTTTAAATCTAAAGATGGTGTGCTATTTTTATAAATTGTTGCAYCACTTGTGCTTTTACGCTCATTTGGAAAGAGGTTTTTTTAAGCATCACCTTTACTGCAAACGGCAGAGCTGAACCAATGGCCTACGAATTTTCGTGATTGACCTTGTGCTTTTGGTATTCATTTGAAAGAGCGGCTTTTCACGATTATGGCAACCCCAAAATAATCCACTCTCGCGTTGAAACTGTAACGGTAAACCCCCAATAGCAGGTCACGTGATCTTTTCTGCCGTTTTAAGTTCAGTGCCGTGAACGTCATTCCACGAAMATCATTGACAAAAGTAAACTGAAGTAAATAAAATTCTTGGCAATGATAGCATAGAGTACAAACATTAANAAATAATTGGACGAGGAAAATTCCTCTGACTGCCAAAAATTGGACGAGGCCGTGGCCGAGTCCAATTTGGCAGTCAGAGGAATTTTTCGAGTCTAATTATTTCTTAATTGGACAGCATGGAGTCCTATTACATATAATAACTGTCAAAGCAAAAACAATTTTCTAATTCTATTAAACACTGCTTCGTCTACGTTTGTATATGTTTTATTTCCGAGCTTTMGGATCATTTGATCCATCATCAGGGACTAGTGATACAAATGAATTAACTAGCGGTTGAAAAACTAAACACATGACGRAAATRCTAAATATAATAATAGAGCGCGCTACAGATGCGCGCACACACAAGCTAAGAATATTAATTTTTAGTTAAAATGGGACGATACACGTCTGGTAACAGGCGCATCTGTAGCGCGCTCTATTATATTTAGCATTTTCGCCATGTGTTTAGTTTTTCAACCGCTAGTTAATTCATTTGTATCACTAGTCCCTGATGATGGATCAAATGATCCGAAAGCTCGGAAATAAAACATATACAAACGTAGACGAAGCAGTGTTTAATCGAATATGACTCCTACGTACAGAGAAATCTTAAATTGTCTAATTGTCAGACAATGTTGCACGAGCATCATTAATAAAATTAAAGTGAAGTMGATAAAATTCTTGACATAAGGATATCATAGCAGCATAAGCTGCGACCAGGTTATTTTTTTTATTAATGCCATTTATGAATTCAGTTTCAGGTTATCACGCGATATTATAAAAGAACAGGAATCTCACTCAAATATGACTAGAATCACTCGCCATGACACAGAATCCAGAAACCAACAAAAGTTTAGCTCTGGAATACGGAACCCATAGCAATTGAAAGAAATACCGTAGAACAAGAGGAATCCGGAATCAATCTTAATCTTCAAGTGTTTACGAGTCAACGACGACAAAAAAGTTAGAATGCTTTGAGAAATACCTATAGCCGAAATTTTTTGTAAGGTCTCATGTAGTTTTAATTTCTCATAATCGACCCATATTGAAGGTTTAAACCAATCCAACTACCAAAGCCACCTGTTATCAGTACTTTTTACGATGCATAATCGTGTCCATGTATTGTATTGTATTATATATGAGGCACAGTATATATTTGTTTTGCTTCTAACAAAAAGGGGTAATGATGTTAATTACTTGTTTAATCTCGCAACCATAAAGATCACAAATAATATATCAGTTGGCTAAAATGTATGACTTTCTTTTTTCTGGGATTTCTGTTGAAACTCCCGTCAGCCAAGAAAACCAGTAACGAAAATAGAGATAACTGCATAGGTTAAAAGAAATTTTCACCATTCAAATAGATCCTAATCGAATAACGCGTTGCCATGTACCAAATCATCTCCTGTGGGAAAAATAATTTTTGTTTCTAATAATTCTACTGTGAAATAAAAATACGACGAACAATGAAACTCACTCCCCGGTGGTTTGAATTGAACGTTTATAGCAACGCAATAGTTGATTAGGTCTATTTGAGTCAACATCAACGGATAATTCTTTTAGTTTTTCGATGCATTTACAACACAAATAGAACCCAAAGTTTGAAAGACGCATCTATTGTCTAAGCCCTTTCGTCGACCTTTATCACGGCGATCTCTCATTTCAAAGATGTTGATAAAATTGAAGATAATTTAGCCTGCGTAGCGTCCCTAAGGGGATTGGGGAGGGCCGGCCGAGCGGGG